AATAGAGATTACTAGTCCTGTAGGCACTATTAAAAATAGTCATTCTTCTGAGGATATCGTAAATCACGATTTTGTAGTCAGAAAGTTTTTCCCCATGCTTATCTGAACTAAAATATTGAGAAATTAGGTTGTATTTTAGCTATACCAAGGTAATAGGTGTTATCATTTTCAATCAGTACTTTTTCCACTATTTCCTATAGTCAAAAGCGAAGGTACATAATTGTGTTTCTCCTCTATTTTCACGTTACTTGAAATACCATTTACTTTGAAATTGACATAGATTTTTATGAGAATAAAATTGATAGATGCTATCCCTTCTGCATTTACGAAACCGCAATACCTAGAATAAAATTCTGAATGATGATAAAATGAATACTTATCAATTCATCAGTGAAGAAGATTCGGTTGTTCAGATTTCATCCTGTTGAAATTACTATGTATCTAACTATACATGCAAATTTAAGGAACATGGGTTGGAAACGAAATAAAGATAATTATCGTACTTGAGTTCAGTACATAGAATTGCTTATAGAGTAAACCTTGGACTCTGATAGTTAGGAACTCATGCTGCTGAATAAAGTAATAGCTTGTCTCTCGTGATTGTTTTTGTCTGCTAGAGGAGAAAAAGATTTCTTGCTTGTAGCCTAGTGGATTTCATGAATCACTACAATTTTTATATCCCAAAATTATGCCACTGTTTTGTGTGGTGATTGGGCAGATAAATCCTTAAAGACATGTTTGAGAATCTTTTTAGACCGATGAGAGCGGAGGAAAGATTACTGTTTCTCAAGTATTTTCTAGAAATGAATAATCACCTTTTATGTAGTATCGTAATACATTGAACCTCGTTCTAATGTCATTTATCTGACCCCGTTATTGTCACTAAGTTTGTGGAAGCATGCACGGTGCAATGCATAATGCATTCATTTCTGTTTTTGACATCACATCAGGTTTGGTTGTTGGGTTAGGTGTAATATCATGGTTTTACGATGTACATGAATGAATTATAGATTGCATAAACTTCCCATGTGATATGCAGCACCAAGATCTGTCATGACTTCATGTCATTAGCATAGTGGAGATGCTCCTGTATTGGTACTTCTACGCGTAAATTACACACTTACAGTTTGCATTTTTGAAACATGGTCACATGTAACAGATAGAACAAATACATATACTAATAAACAACACCAGCACTTGTTGATACAAGTGTCGATAACTTATGTTCTATAATTAAGTTGTCCAAGTTTTAAATTTTAAATATAAAATAAATTATGTTAAGAGATGAATATTTATCTTATACGTGGAGTGATTGATTATTTATATTAATATCATGGTTATTTAAAATACGGTAATAAACTGAATAAAGTAAATCCGTAAATGTGGCTATTCATTTTTTTCCTAGATGCCAACAAACAGTAGGCAACTTTATTCATGGATTCCAACAAAAACACAGGAAAACATTACATTTCCTATATCTCAAATCAAACGCTACCGTCCTACCTGAGTCAACCATACAAACTGACAAGAATAGATGGAAAAGAAATAGAAACAGAACAGTACATGAGTTCCATAGAAACATACACAAACACTATTTAAGATGAAACTGCAGTCTGTCTCTGGCTTAGCTTGCTAAATGACCAGTGCAGGTACAGTTTCATGAAAGGAACCTGGAAGAAAGGCTTTGCCTTCCCTTAGCCTTTATGATTTGCCTTTTGATACTCCTCTCTTCAAAAGGAGAGTAGCATAGTGTTCAAGAGGTGTACTTTGTTGTCACCTTCCTCTTCACTTTCTTCTTTCTCCATATCACAATGTACTTGGCTAGTAGATTGGAGTGATGGACAAGGGTGGTTTCGCAGCTACCTTACATCAAGCATATATAATCACTCCAAAGCACAGACACGTGGAAGGATTACCTTCACATTCCGACAAATTAGGGAATAGAAAAAACGAAACATGGAAGAGAACAGGTAGGCACATAGGCATAAAAAAGAAAGAATCAAATAACATTTCAACCTCGCATGTATTCTGTCACACGCATACAAGAATATTATTGTTCTGTTTTAGACAATTTGTCATAATACTTTCATGGAGCCTTGTCATTCCACGTTTCACACCAACAAGCAAGGGATAATAAAAGATTAAAGATGGGGAAGGAGGCTTTGAAAAATGAGGTAAAAAGAAGTGGAAAAAATGGTATAATAATAAAAAGGTGGTTAAAGTAATTTATAGGGACAAAAGAGCCAAGTGTAAAGATAGAATAGGGTTGTGGATAAGCACTTGGCATTTAAAAAAATGTGGCACAATGGGTTGGCACCATCCGATTCGTATGCATGGGGATGGTGGGAGGAGCAAATGGTTCAGAGTATATGTGCTAAATCAAATGGGCACTACTTGTTCAGTGGGCTTGGCTTTCTAAATTAAGTAGTGAGTGTACTATAATTAAAGAAAGCCAATGCTCTACTTTTTCTCATTACTTTTTAGGGCATGAGGGAGGCTTCCTCATAGGATAGCACAAGCCATTACATAAGGATTAACATATAGATATTGTTCAATTTAGCCTCATCCTTTTTGTTCGGAGAGGAATAGCAATTATTGGAACCCCTCATAATAAAATAATTCCCCTAAGGTTAGGTGGCCACTTCTGGTAATGGATGGTTCTCTATATAGTAATCCTTATTGCATTGATCCTCGAGTTTGCTTTTTTGAGTATTCCTTATTGCATCACCTCTCTTATTTAGGGTTGTCATTCTTTCCATAGTTTTATGCTACGGTATGAAAATTAAGTTTCTCTAGTCATCTATAAATACATATCAAATAAACAAGGGGTGAAAAAATTAAGTTTTGTTGTTTACTATTTTCAATATATATATATTGTTTTCTAAAATGTATATTTGAAAATATTATTTCTCTGAATTTGCTCCTTGAGTACTTGAAGAAAATAGAAGAACATATTTTCTAGTTATTTCTATTATTTGGTTTTTTGAAACACTTGTTTTTTATCTGTAAACTTCGATAGATTTTGGACGTGAAATAATTGTTAAGTAATGTGTAATAGTATAGATAAACATGCTCTTATTGTCCCTTTTTCTTTTGCTTTGCACCCGAATACTTCATACCATGCAAGTCCTAAGCAAAAAAACAATATAAGAGGTTTAATAATATAAACATGGGAATAATTTCGTGAGATCATGTCACTATCTGATTTAAGGATAGTTATTTGTTTAGTCACTTCAATTTATATGCATTTTTCATGTAAAAGTTTTTATTCCATCAAATAAAAAAAAAACCGTCATTAATATAAGTTTTAAAATAATTATGATAAAAATTAATAAATTTACTATATTATATTTGTCTTATTGTTACAACCCGTTGAACATGAATGAACCGTGCATATGTAAAAATGTGCTAAAACAAACGTAAACAAACAATAGTTTGGAATTGAATACTGATTACGCCTTGAATAAATATAATAAATGTGAAATAAGAGGATAAAGATTAACGAGATATGAAAAAGAAATGGTGATGATATAATATAATTATTAATAAATGTGGAAAAAACGAATGCAGAGAAATAAAATAGAGAAGGTAAAAGATAATTTATACTATTAATAAATTTCGATACAAATTAGTAACGACAGTAGACACCTTGTATTTATGTTATAGTTAAAAAAAATAGTATTAATAAATTAAGATGATGCTTTTTTTTAGTACCTTATTTGTGTCCACTTTTATATGGACATTTTTTGTTTTTATTTATATTTTGTAATTTTGTAATTTTATTTTAGAACCGTTCATAAATAAAAAGTATTTTTATTATTTTTCCTTGTTTAATACGGGCAGTGACTTTCTTTTTGCTGGTGAATAATAATATAAGTTAATAAATTATACATGAGAAAATATTTGGGAACGTAACATTCGGCATAACCTACAAACATGTTTTTTAATGTGTAGTATATGCAAATAAATTTGAAAAAATATTTTAAGAAACACAAAATTATAATTAGATCATGTAGACGATACTCATAGATAGGGATGGCAAAAATACTCGCAATCGCGGATATCTGCGGGTAAAATCTGCTACGAATAATAAATGGATAGGCTAATTGAGTACCCGCGGATAATAAAGACGGATAATTTTTTACCGTTTATAAATGGGGTGGGGGCGGGTATGATGATATTCATAGCCGCAGGTACCCGTTTAATAATATTTATTAAATATCCTAATTATTCTTGTACCACATAACCCTAAAACTACACTTTCTCGTCTTATTTTTTTGCAAAAGTGGGGTTGATGAAGTTATCAACATGTGTTAAACATGTTATAGAATTATGTTGGATATAATTTGATTAATTTTCTAGCTTTGATTGGATCAATAAAATTTATGTATTTTAAGTTGTTTACTTTCATTTGGAATTATGAGATTGAATTATTGTAGCTTTGTGATGAGACTTTAACTTACTTGTAAGATTGATATATTTTAAGTCATTGATTATTTTACATTTTTATTATTATTTCAACAAAATTAACGTTAAATACAAGTTCAAAATTAACATTGAATTTTTATTCTTAATATTTTAATGACATTAAATATAGACTTAAAATTATTTATAATATAATTTTTTTAATTTTTTAAAAAATTTATAAATATCCATGGATATCCGTGGGTATTTAAGAAATTCATGAATGCCTACGCAGATATGGGATAGGTATGGAGCCAATTTTCATCTAGCGGGACTGGGTGAATTTACTATTTTCCATCCATAGGACCCCATTGTCATCCCTACGCATGGATGATAATGTGTTTCTTTTATATCCGAAATTATTATTTAAATATAATATAATTGAAAACACTAACAAGTAGGTGGACGTGCCGGAGTGGTTATCGGGCATGACTAGAAATCATGTGGGCTCTGCCCGCGCAGGTTCGAATCCTGCCGTTCACGTGTTTTAATATTTGCATTTCAAGTTTTTAAGCTTTCTACTTCTAGGGGTTAGGGTTAGGGTTTAAGTTTTTGATTCCTTTTTTTCTTTGCAACTCCAAATCCAATTCTTTTCAGTTTTCTCTTCATTTTCTAACAAACACAAGTATGAAGAAGCCAGGAGTTTCCATTCCTAACAAGACAAATTACAGCACCCAATGCGTCCGAAGACCTTGCAAGTGATAAATCGATGCAAAACCATTTCCCAACTTCACCAAGTCCACGGCCATAGCATCACCACCGGTCTCTTACCTCTCCACACACTGCCAATCCTCAACAACATTCTCTCCACCCTCACCTCCATTCTCACCACCACCACCACCCCTTTTCCCCACTCAATTACCACCTACGCCCTCTCCCTCCTCCGCTCCATCCCAAACCCCACCACATTCACCTTCAACACCCTCATCAGAATCCACGCCCTCCTCCTCTCCCCCCTCCCCGCCCTCCGCCTCTTCTCCTCCCTCCCCCGCCGCTCCCTCCCCCCAGACTTCCACACCTTCCCCTTCCTCCTCAAAGCCTCCGCCCAACTCCCCTCCCCCTCCCTCCCCCTCGCCCAAACCCTCCACTCCCAAGTCCTCAAGTTCGGTTTTTTAACCCATACATTCACCCTCAACACCCTCATCCGCGCTTACTCCCTCCACCACCTCATCAACGATGCCCACAAACTCTTCTCCGAATCCCCTCACAGAGACGTCGTCTCTTACAACGCCTTGCTTCAGGGCCTCATCAAAACCCGCCACATCCCCCGCGCCCGCCAACTCTTCGACGAAATGCCCCTGCGAGATCAAGTCTCCTGGGGCACCATGATAGCCGGCTATACTCACTCCAAACTCTTTAACCAATCCATTCAACTCTTTAATCAAATGATGAGGTTAAATGTTAAACCTGATAATACAGCGTTGGTGTCGGTTCTCTCTGCCTGTGCCCAATTAGGGGAGTTACAACAAGGTAGCACCGTTCATGATTACATTAGAAGAAACAGGATAAAAATTGATTCTTTTTTGGCGACCGGGTTGGTGGACTTGTACGCCAAATGTGGGTGTGTTGAGACTGCGAGGGATGTGTTTGAGTCATGCACGGATAAAAAACTGTTCACGTGGAATGCCATGCTTGTTGGCTTTGCGATTCACGGGGAGGGTTCCATGGTGATGAGCTATTTCTCTAGAATGATTGCGGAGGGGGTTAGGCCTGATGGGGTGACCTTGTTGGGGGTGTTGGTGGGGTGTAGCCATGCGGGTTTGGTTAGTGAAGCTCGGAGGGTTTTTCGTGAGATGGAAAGTGTGTATGGGGTGGCTCGGGAGGGGAAGCATTATGGGTGCATGGCTGATATGTTGGCGAGGGCTGGGTTGATTGAGGAGGCGGTGGAGATGGTGAAAGGGATGCCGAGTGGGGGCGATGTGTTTGCGTGGGGAGGGTTGCTTGGAGGGTGTAGGATTCATGGGAATGTCGAGGTTGCGAAGGAAGCAGCGCAGCATGTGATGGAGATAAAGCCTGAGGATGGTGGGGTGTATTCGGTTTTGGCTAATATATATGCTCACGCTGAGCAATGGGATGATTTAGTCATGGTTAGGAGATCGTTGAGTGCTAACAAGAGGGCCAAGAAGATTACTGGTTGTAGTTTCATTAGACTGACGGAGGATACCTAGTTGCCAATCATGGTGTTATATAGCTAATGTTCTCACGTTCCTCGTAGCCACGACAGGTTTCATGCATTACAGATTATCCACTCACAAGTTCTCACATTAATAGCGAAATTCGAACTCTTGGTGAGATGTGAGATCTATCTTTACCAACTAATCAATCTTTCATGATTGGTTGTATAGCTAATGCCAATCAACCTTCTAATGTCGAAGGTCAATGTAATGGAAATGGAGAGGGAGTAAAGTGTATAGATTAATTGGATGTTAGATTACGACATATGATAGATTTAATTGTGGCTGATTGCCATTTACATATTTTTTGGGTGAATAATTTATTATTAGTAGTAACTTATAAAATATTATTGTTTGGAATTGTATCTTTACACTTGAGTTTGTAGTTGTGCAAACAGCTTGAGAACTTTGTGATACTGGAGTGCCACCCAAGAGCCTCTTTTGGTAATTCATGGCAGTGCATCACAATAAACGTGTCGCTTAATTCAGTCGAGTAAATTAGTTCTTGGAAGATATTAGGTCTCGATTATTTCCACTCTTGGGAGGATGAAAAATCTCTGAATATACACTGTCAACTAAATTAGTCTCTGCGTTAATTGAGGCTAATTAAAATTGACGTTAGATGCATGAGTCGAGTCACTTTCTTCCCCCCATACACAACGTTATCTTGGTTTGGAAGGAAAAAAATTACATTATCAAACCTGGTCAAAGACTCAAAATTACTTTCTTCATCCTCACATTCAATCTTGCTGCAACGGAGTAGGTTTGAATTTAAAATCCCATACAAATTATACAAACAGTGAGTTTATGTTTCTATTAATTCTAGTTACAAAAAATTAAATCATTAAAAGTTGAACACAAAATAGAGGCGGTGTTATGCAGTGAAGCAGTTGAAAAAGACGAAACCAAGATTTAATTGAGTCTTTAGAAATATTCTCTTACATTTGAAGACTCGTTGACTGCGATTCAAGATTTAATTTTACTAGTTATTGAATATGAATTTCTTAAATTGGAGTAATTCATTTTAATGTATGCATATATTTGCTGGCTAGTGGCTACAAACAGAGCGTGGCACTTCCTGAGGCTTCCACGAGTAGCGTGTCGAACGTAGAAAGTGACACGTGTCCCGTGGCTTCCACATTCTGCTACGTGGCTCCGGAACCTTCTTTCTCTAATCACTCTTACTGCACAAGCTCGAACGCAATCCTATCCATCAGATATATAAGCGCGGCACTAGAAAAATGAGTAACACCGACAGCATCAAGCAAGCAACCAACACAAACTAATCATGTTTTTGAGGCCTTTGGTAGAGTTTCTTCTTCTCTAGACTCTATGAATTGAGTTTTCCTTTGTATTTTATTTATTTATTATTTATAATTTATGTATGATGCATATGGATATGGTGCAGAGGGGTAATTGGTTAGCAGTGTTAAGAAACGGAGGTAAGGGTGCGTACACAACCTCAACGGTGGGAAAGATGAAAGCGTGTGCAGGTGCAGGTGATTACGGGCACGTTGAGCAACATGGGAAGTCGGCGAAGCAGGACTTTGTGCCGATTTACGTGGCGATTGGGATGATCGGCTTGTCCACAGGGCTTGGTGCGCACACTGCGTGGCACCACCTCAGGAATTCCCCAGGGGTGCACGTGAAGAAGCAGCGGAGGGAGACGCTGCCGGAAGTGGTGGAGCCCGACCACGTGGCGGAGGAGTCCGACAAGTTCATCAAGCAATCCTTCTTCAGGAAAGTGGCGCACGTGCAAGAGCGTAGCTACCCCGATCACAACCAAATCCCTAATCCCATCCGTAGAGATGCTTATGCTTATACTCCCCGTCTTCAAACTCTCAAGTCCGTTGGAGTTGACCCCTCCCATCTCTAAACTAAATCATTTTCTTTTTTAATATAAACACTAGCTTTTAAATACCACTCTACTCGCTACCTTTTCAACTCTGTCTCGTTAAGGACATATTGTACAAATTATCTGTATTGTATAAATCTATTTTTCACTACATTATATCAATGTATTATTAATATTAAATTCGGATCACCGGCTACACCTAGTTTTATTGTAAATTGGAGTGAGAAGGAGTAACAATGTTGCGTTAGTTAGTTATTTACGCCTCAAAGGCTTTGAGGATAGCCCAAGATGGCAACGCTTTCTGTCTCCACGTGCTACGCTACCCATCTTCACCTCCTTAAACTGAAACTTTCAGACCATGACTACCTTCTAAATTCACCATAAACAGAAAAAATAAATAATAATACACTTAGGACGTTAATTACTGTAAATACATTAGTACAAGTTTATGTACGTAAAAATAAAATAGTTAGTACACACAAGTTAGTACACACAAGTTATGCAAGATCTAGGGACAGCACAAGAAATAGAGTAGTTCCAATGTTGGATGTCCACGAGGGTTCTTCTTCTAGTTCACGCGGTGCTTCCAATGAAGTTTGATTATGAAAGTCTAAGTTGCTTCCAAATTTTGCTGGTACCAAATGCATGGAATACTTAGCCCCCAACTACTCGACCACACTGCTTAAATTTGTTTCTCTGTATGCTCTGCCGTAATACAATAATTTTGGAAATTAAAAGTCTTCTGAACTCTCTCCCTCAATACTCACTACTACAGATACAATCATTTCTGTTGCTCTTCTTTCGTAAGAAGCTCTTGGGGGTTGAGGGTTCGGAAGCCGTTTAGTTTCCAAATTTTATTTACAACCAAAAACCTTTGCAGAAATCAGTTTGCAAAATTCACTCGTAACGTTGTCATTTAATTTGTCTTCTTCGTATATGCATTATTATGCGTCCAGTATCTTATCTTGTGGCATAAGTATTTGGGTAAGGAACTGCATCATGCTATTGCATTGTTCATCAGACAAAACAACTGCATACTAGCTTCTGCAGGATTTGTGTCCACAGAGTATCGCTATTTCCTTCATTTTTCGCTTGGAGGTGTTCAATTTCTACTAGTCAAATTTATATACGACTCTTTTGTTTCAGGATCACTCATAATGTCTCCAGCAAGTTCTGTTATTTATATCGGCTGTGGATACTCAACCAAAAAGAAAAAGGATAAACTTTATAATTATTGGATCAAATTTGATTATTTTCTTTTTTCAATTTAACATTTTCTAAGTTATTTGAATTTTTTATTAATAAAATTAATTTTAGGTTTTTATGCAAGTTTGAATGTTTCCTAGATATTCCCCATTTTATAAGATTTTTATTCAGAATAATTAATTTTTTTAAATTTATAGGAGAGAACTTGAGTTAGATTTCTACGTACCACATTTATTAAGAAAGATTACAAACGGGTATGCCAAATTCATAACTAACATAAAAGATGGAAAGTTAAGTTTAGTATGATTTTTTTTAGCGATATATGATTTTAATTTATGCGGCTTAATCTAAATATGCATCACAAATTTTTATTGATTAATGATATAAAAATATTTTGATTTGAAAAAGTCATACGATTACCTTAATAAATTAAAGAAAAAAGAAAAAATATATTTATAAAGCTATCCTTAGTTTTAATATTTAAGTGATGTGAAACTTCTTTAATGTACAAGAATAGTTACAAATACTATTTACTATAAAAAAATAAATAAATAAAATCCACGGTAATTGAAATTAAACTAATATGAACAACATAATTTTGTATAACTTGCATCACAAGCATAGACGATGTCTACCTAACGAAACTGAAGGTTTTATAAAAAAATTTCAGTGAAAGTGGCTCCTAAATTTAAATGTAAATTAAGCATTTGTCATCCGTGAGAAAGTTAATGGAGTTAGCACACATTTGAGAATAATATTATTTTAAAATTGATTAAAGAAGCACAATACACAAGTTAATTATGAAATTTGAGAAAGATAAGTGCAAACAGCCTTCTTTTGCAAGTAAAGCTCCCCAAAACAAATAATCAGTTTTAAAAATTTGACCGTGACCTTCAAATCTTGAAGCAACAACTTTGTCATTACATCAATGTTGAATCTCATTTTGAAAAATGATTATTTTACAAAAATATATGTATATTCAAAATAATAAATATCTAGATTTATCCATTTTAAATGTATATTACAAATAATAAATATTAAAATATATTGTATTTAATAAGTATAATATTTTAAACATTTAATTGTATTATTTATTTTGACTGTATGTTATATTTAATGTTATTTGACAGCCAATTTTATTTATAATATTTCAAGTTTGAAACTTATTAAATATATAGTCAACAGAGAAACATTTAACATATTATTATAGTTTATTTTAATTTTCAACCATAGTTTCAGTAAAAGAAGTTCTCAATTCATACTATAAATCTTATCAGAAAAATACGGACGTTATCTTTAACATATTATTTACATTAAATGATTTAAAGTAAGCTTTCTTTAAGAATAATAATTTATAATAAGCTATAAATGAATAAATTTTTAATAATTTCACATATTTATATATTTAAATGTTATTTTTATATCACATTTCTTTTATATATTTATCTTCCGAACTATGGTATTGGTAGTCTTACAAGTTCTGATTTTTTACGGTGAAGCCGTGGGGGAAGGGTTATGAGTTATGATGCTAAAGGACAACGTGGCGAGATACTATTGGGTAGTGTCACGTGGCGCATAAAATCATTGGTTGAAACAGCTCCAAGGCAAGTGTGTATATAAGTAGCCTCGTCTTCGAACATCACTGAGATTTAAACACTTTCTACACAGCAATATTTTCTTCCATTTCGGAGCTAGGGTTTCTCCGTAACAGAGAAACATGGAAGAACCAAAGCGAATTCCTCTGCGGATCTTCGCGCTCCTCCTTTTGATTTCTACCTCTGCGTTTCAGATTCTCTACGCTTCCGAAGACGCCGATGACGCGGTAATTCATCTTCTCCTTTTCGTTCCTTTCAGTTTTTGTTTTGCGTGCGTTGGATGAATGGATCTCTGTTTTCGCCAAACTGTATCTGACGAATTGTTGTTTGCGGATGTCGTTTAGATCTTCTACGAGTCGTTTGACGAGGCTTTTGAAGGCCGTTGGATCGTGTCTCAGAAAGATGACTATACTGGTAACTAATACATTCACTGTTTTCTCTCTTTGTGAAATCGAAATGTTTCTCTTGTGATGATTGATACTATACTTTGTTTGATGTGGTTAGTTTCAATAGAGTTTCTTACGCATTCCAAGTCCATTTTTAATCACTCACTCACACGGGAGATGAGTGTCACTCAACATATCACAAATAACTAGGAAATCAAAATCTATTAACATAATTGGACGAAATTGATAATCTTTCTAGATCTATGATTCTGGACGAGCAAAAGAATCCTGAAAAGTTAGTAGAGTGGTGGTCTTATTAGTTTGAGCAATAATTAGATGGCTCCACTAATGATGGCCTAACTGCTCTGGTTAAGGAGTTAGTTTCTTACAATTAGTTTCAAAAATGTTTTCATATCATGAATTTTTTTTCTCTCCAGTAATTATTTTTTACTATTGTTTTAGTACTATCTATTTCCTCTAGGGTGTTGGTTAGCATTTATCTTGATGTAAAGAGGGGCACCAGTTAAGAGAACAAAAATTGAAAGTTTTTATTGAAAGAACATTTGTTGTATTCAAAGCAATTTTTTTCTTTCAATTTTTGTTTTTTTTTTAAGTAATTAAAGACATTTAATTAAGAAAGCACTTGTTAGCTTGTTAATAATATTGTTTAATTCAACTCCCCTTGCATTATTAATGCTCATGACATGACATCTATCACCCGTTGAATTATAATATTGTGTTATTACTGTGATAAATGCTTTCTTTTCCATTCAGTAAACAGTAACATTAAGTATTAAGTAGTACCTTTTAAGGTACTAATTGGCATTTTCTTGCAAATAATGAGGATTTTGCTAACAAGTGTTCCGTGGTCACTAATTAAGGACATGTATAATATATGTACTTCCTTCATTCCATTTTGTTTGACGGTTTAAGATTTTTTTTTTTTTTCCAATTTGATTGTGGCTTTACAATATCAATGCAACATTAAATATTATCTATAATTATCGGTGAGAATTCATAATATTTAAGGGTATATTGAGAAATTACATGATTTATTTTATGAAATCGGATGTATTAATTGTATTGTCCTGTGCCAAAACTTTAAATGTGAATTTAAATGGAACGGAGGAAGTATAAGGAATGTATCAAGTGAGGTGAGAGAACTATTTGTATTAGAGAACATATATTGGTCATACAACCATATATAAATTGAAAAGTGAAAGCCTTTAGCTTTTCAATATATTAAATATATGCTGTATTCATTAAATTTTATTCCTTAACTAATGCCGTTTGGGTACTTGTAAAGAGTAGCCATATTTATTTAGAATTAAAGTCGGTGCATATAATAAATTAATAATCAAATCTATTACATCAGAGGATGATAGATACTTTAGTTTTTACCTTTTTTGCTAGTACATTGAAAACAGAGGTTTGAGTAGCCTTTTACATATTTTTCCAACAATGGAATTAGAAATAATATTTGATATGTCTTTTGGATTCTAGGTGTCTGGAAACATGCCAAGAGTGAAGGGCATGATGATTATGGGCTTCTTGTCAGCGACAAAGCACGGAAATATGCTATAGTAAAAGAACTTGATGAGACTGTGAAACTCAAGGATGAAACAGTTGTTCTTCAGTTTGAAACTCGGCTTCAGAACGGCCTTGAATGTGGTGGTGCATATCTAAAATATCTCCGACCACAAGAGGCTGGATGGAAACCCAAGGAATTTGATAATGAATCTCCATATTCTATCATGTTTGGTCCTGACAAGTGCGGTGCCACTAACAAAGTACACTTCATTTTCAAACACAAGAATCCCAAGAGTGGGGAATATGTTGAACACCATTTGAAGCATCCCCCATCTGTCCCATCTGACAAATTATCTCATGTGTACACGGCCATTTTGAAGTCTGACAATGAATTGCAAATTTTGATTGATGGGGAACAGAAGAAGAAAGCAAACTTCTTATCTGCTGATGATTTTGAACCTCCTCTTATCCCTCCCAAGACAATCCCAGATCCTGATGATAAGAAACCAGAGGACTGGGATGAGAGAGAGAAAATTCCAGACCCAAATGCCGTAAAGCCAGATGACTGGGATGAGGATGCACCCTTGGAAATTCTCGATGAGGAAGCGGAGAAACCTGAAGGATGGTTAGATGATGAACCGGAGGAGATAGATGATCCAGAGGCAACAAAACCAGAAGATTGGGACGATGAGGAGGATGGTGAATGGGAAGCCCCAAAGATTGATAACCCAAAATGTGAAGCAGCCCCTGGTTGTGGTGAGTGGAAGAGGCCAATGAAGAGGAATCCAGCTTATAAAGGAAAATGGCATGCTCCACTTATTGAAAATCCTGCTTATAAGGGTATATGGAAGCCTCGGGATATTCCAAACCCTGAATACTTTGAACTTAAAAAACCTGATTTCGAGCCTATCGCTGCTATTGGTATCGAGATTTGGACCATGCAAGATGGCATATTGTTCGACAATATCTTGATAGCTAATGATGATAAAATTGCTGCATCCTATCGGGAGACTACATGGAAGCCCAAGTTTACCGTTGAAAAAGAAAAACAGAAGGAAGAAGAATTGGAAACTGGATCAAGTGGTCTAGCTGGCTTCCAGGTAATGTCTTTTTTCATTTCAACTTTCCCTCCCTCCCCAATGTCATCTCTCATAATTTTACTTTCCAGTATCATGTCCTTCACTCCTTTCTTATGCTAAAATGTTTCTTTTTGTCCTTGCAGAAGAAGATATTTGACCTGTTGTACAAGGCCGCAGACATTCCCTTGCTGAGTGACTACAAACTTAAAATATATGTAAGTATCAAAACAAATGTTTCTTCATTCGGAATAGTATCTTGGTGGAATATGACTTGAATTCTATCCTTGTCTGTAGGATGTCATTGAGAAGCTTGAAAAGCAACCAAATCTCACTGTTGGAATTCTTGTAGCCTTTGTGGTTGTGGTGGTATCGATCTTCTTCAGGATCATATTTGGTGGGAAGAAGAAGCCCGTAAGTAGTGAAACAGTTTAATAGCTGACTCTTATTCTGTTATATTCTTTTCCTTCGAATGGATGTTCATCTCTGGACCTTGCATGTTCTATTACAGACAAGGGTGGAGAGGACAAACGTAGAACCTGCAGAAACTTCCACTAGCCAAGGCAGTGCTGAGAATGAGGAAAACAAAGAGGACGAATCAGCAGCTGCTCCTCCACGTCGGAGGTCAACAAGGCGAGATAATTGAAGGGATTGAAACTTGAAAGGGGCGGCCATTGAAGAACACTACCGCACATAAATTTTGAGCATAGTTGGACATTAGGCCAATTTCGTAGTAGCACTTTGTTACCATTTTTCTCCTTCGCCTTTTGAAAGATGATATGTATAAGGAGTGTAAATCAGATATTTTGTCTTGTGTTGTGTTGTGTTGGTCACTTTGGAGACTTGAGTATTTTAAGCTAATTGAGGCTGTACAATTATTTTTCTAGTAATGTAGCACAGAAATCAATTCACATGTTACATTTTCAATCCATCGTTTTTCTAGAATACTGATTTGAGTACATGCGTCACATGATCCAATACATAGAGAATAGGTAGCCATCCTCGAATCTAACTTGTTTCTGTTGTGTGATTCTTGACTGCAATCAGTCAGACTTGAGCTTCACTCGTATCTTTTGGAAATGCCATTTATGGATTTATTTTAAATATTTGCATGTTATCTTTTCAAGTGCATTATTTTTTTAAGTGGCTTCTTTGGGGGTATTAATAAGCAACTACTCTTACAGGAAAATGCTTTCAATTTCTTCATTTAATATTTCTGTTCAACGTATTGATCAAGTGTTTCTCTTTGAATGTTTACATCTTTTATTATTATTTTTTTAATTTATGAAAATGGTTTATGCCTGTATCAAAACTGACTTGTGTTCGCGAGATGAAGCTTTTGTTGGTTAATTATGAGAAAATAAAAATAAAAAATGTTTAAAATATTAATTAAAATACCATATGTATTTGTTAGTTTTTTTCTTCCTTTTATCCTAAACTCTCCCATTCATGTTAAAATACCAAAACAAGTTCTTACATCAACTCACATTTTGGAACCTTAATTTTCTTTGATTTCCTTTTATTACATTATGCTTTTTTCTATTCTTAGATTCAAATTTAATCTGATTTTTATTACAAAGCTATACACCACACTTGATTGCAAGTAGAACCTTCTTTTGCTTTGTCTCATTTTGGACTTCAATAATATTAGTTGTGCTAGAATTCAATGAAACTTATATGTGTTATCACATTTTTCTAATTATACCACAATTTTTATTTACTAATTATGTGCATTGATAATATTGCGCGTATTTAAGTCAAGAAACTCTTTCCATATAGAACTAACTTATATGATTGTTTCGATATGTTACTTCTAATTCTAATAAAATTTGTGATTTTTGTCACCTTTCTAAACAACAAAAGTTATTATTCCTTTTTAGCATAATACATAAGACAATTGTTGCATTTGATCTAGTCCATATGGACATTTGAGATCCCCTTCCCATTATTTACTTATCGTCGCCGTTATTTTCTTACTATATTTGAAGACCACACTAGATATGCATGGTAGTTTCTTATTCACTCTAAGGTTGGAACTCGTGATATTATTTCAAAGTTTGTTCAGTTAGCTATCACCCAGTTTGGTTGCATAATCAAGATAACCAAGTCTAATAATAGCAACGAGTTCAATATGTAATTTTCCATTTTTAATTGTGCATTACATTTCTTAGATGGAAACTCCTTTAGTTGTTGAGAACTTGAGAGGAAGCATAAACATGTATTATAAATGTGGTTCAAGCATTGCCTTTTCAATCTAATCTTCCCAAAAAAAATTATAATTATATTATTAGTACAGAGTTTCACCAACTTTATTAAAAAATGTGGCTAACAATCTTTACATTATCAATACTCTCAACACCCATCTTGTTTCACAAATTTCTTTTTGACTACTTGACCCATATCTTTACTCTCAATTATAATAGAGGCAAAATAGAGGTTTTGCAGATTCTATTTTCTGGACTTCAAATATTAGAAATATTAAAACGAGTTGAATCCAACGGCTCAACCCCTTTAACTCATTCTTTTGGTAGAGTAAATGCGTGTTTGGAAATAAGTTAAAAACATGAAAATCACGTAATTCATCTTAGAATGTGAAAGTTATAATTATTAATTTCTGATTCAACGTGAAAAGTGGTGGCAAACACGCTCTAAGTTGAGATTTTAACCTACAATCATTTTGACCGATACTTCTTAGTCTGTCAAGAAAATGGGGGCAGGCACGCTCCAATATTACATGTGCATGACTTTTTTGTAAGTCAAAAGTCAAAACACAGCAATATTACAATTTGTTTTTCCATAAAAAATATTTTTAGAAGTGTTTCTAAATTTGTATCCAAATAAATTCTAATACATTTCTATAAAAAAAAATTAACATATTGAGAATTTTGACTCAGTTTTTCAATATGATGCAGTGTGTCCCGCCCTATTTTAAATAGGTCAATTGTAAAATAAATTGACTCATTTTATCACTCGTGTTACAATCGGCACAAAAAGTCATGTTATTTTTTACCTTCACACTGAGAATTATTTTATATCTAAGAATGTAGTCTACCATCATTCGCATTAGAAACCATCAGCATGAAATCGGTTTGGCTATAAAAATCAATTTCTACATTTAAAATCATTTTTAAAATATAAGATTTGACTTGGTATTTAAATCAAAATAATATATTTGAAAAACCGCTAAAATAAATTAAATTCATTTAAGTCATTCGTTTCATTTTAGAATATGTCAAATAGGTAAATTTATAACAAAATCGTCAATTCAAATAATAAATCTAAAATTAAAAGCAAGTTAAAACTTCAAACAAAACTTAATTGGGTTCCCAAGGTTCACAACTTGAGCAAAAGGATTTCAAAATTAAATTAGTTACGGTTATCAAAATTTCAAAGAAACATTTTTATTAATAGTCAAATTACTATTTAAAATTTGTTTTCTCTTCAAAGAGGATAGGGTAGCTCACTCAAAGGTTGTAAAAAACATCTAACATTCTAACCCATATCACTGCAGCCTGCAGGTACGAATGAGCATGGTCCAACAACCAATCGCTAAATGGGGAAAGGAAAACTAATTTTAGAGAGGATTTGGTTTTATTTTCCATCGGTAGTTTACATTTGTTTTACACAAAGTTTAAATATGTTTTTCATCTTTAAAATTATTAGTACGTTTTTTTGAAACAAAAGCTCTGCTGTCCCGACGGTATGAAACATCTGCCATATGCATGTTTTATTGTAAGATCTGTATAAAAAATTGTCTCAGCCTACCAACAAAATTTAAAACAAAATAAGGATTACATACGGCATTTTCCCCCTCTACGTTGAAGTAAAACGCTGATGCTTATAAATTGCTCATTTTCTTTGAAAATGTCTGTTATAATTTACTTCCTCTCTTAGATTACACTCACTTCCTGTTACCACCCTTTCTGGCAGGAAGAGAAGTTTCCTCATCATCTGATTGGATATCTCCATACTGCCACATTCCACGCCTACTGGTCCGAGCTTCACCCTGGAATGTTTCCAAAGTATCAAGGGCCTGTTGCCTTTCTTTTCTGTCCCGCCTGTTTCTCTTTTCTAGCCTACCAAGTCCTTCCTGAAAATTTTCATCAAGAAAACAAAGTCAGACAAGTATCTCTGAATGCACATATCGAAGTATATGGCATTGAAAACAATTTAAGCAAAGGAGTGAGTATCAATTAAAACCTGTAGTATGGCGGCATTAACACTGGTCTCAGAATCCGCAGCAACTAGAGTTACGGCAAGCACTGTCCCAGTACCTTGCCCTTTCATTTTTCCTCCTGACGTATCTTTCTCCTCGATCTTGGCCCTAAACTCTTTTCCACTGTTTAAAGTGAGTTCGCTCAAATATTCAGCTGCTTCTTGGCCAAAGTCCTCTTCCAAGTTTGGAACCTTGACATATGCAAGGCTACACAATTGTGCAAGACCAGGAGCAGCAGATACAGATGGATCAATAGGCCGTAGCTGAGAGTAAGGTACTTCTTCTTGATTTCCATAATCAATGTAGAATACTTCAAACATATCGTTGGGAGATTCAATAGGTCCTCGAGGTCCATTGACTACCTGCACAATTCCATACATTTCATAAGGAAGTAAGTCTGAGTGAACAGACTAGGTGATACAAGTGATGTTCTTAACTATTTGCATCTCATCAACCTTATTCATAATACTGACAGTTTACATAATGCGGTGATAAATAGCATGTGTACAAAGTGCTGGCCATATAAGGAAATATCTGACCAAATACAGTCACACCTCAGATCCTGGCAGTAAAAAAGAATGTTCAAAATCTAAAGGATTGTGTTCAAGGTGAAATAATGCTTAATGAGATAAAACCACTCAACAGTAATACGTGGGTTTAAAACTCTCTAGCTGGCTTTAATTATGCAATTAAAAGTATCAACAGGTTGATTAATGGAAGAAATAGGTTTCTATGAGTTATAAAATAAGATATTTCTAATCAATTTTGTCATGCATGGCATGGCAATGTCTTCTCAATAGTATGGTACAGAACTAAAATTAAGAACTTACCATTGCCCGGTACCAAGATTTATCAGCACCAAAAAGACAAAGGACTGTGTCACCCTTCTTAGGATTGAAAGCTCCAAGCAGAGGAGCTTCTTGAAGGTTCAGAAAAGAAAGCTTTTGCTGAATGGATGCTATCCTTTGATCCTCAACAGGCTGGACATAGAATTTACCCCCACCCAAGACTTCTGTTACTGTCACCTAAGAACATATAACAATGGGGCAAATCATTCCGCGTTTTTTATACAAAAAGAAAGGCCATTTATAATACAACAGTATAATAATAACCTTGAGCACTTCTTGCTGTTTGTTCTCGACAGGTGCACCATTAGATACTTCTTCCCCTTCAACGTAATTCTCCCAAATCTGTAATATAAATAACTTTAGAACAGTAAAAAAGAATAACAGTGATAATGTCGAGCATGATTTGGGACCCCTTCTTACTTTCAGTTTTTGCTTCTTTGCAGATTGTTCGGCTTGCTCCAGAAGGTGAAAATCAGGAATTCTGTCAGTGCCAAAGGAGGTTTGCAGCTTTGCAAGACCAGATTCAAGCAGTGTAACTGCCATATTGGTTCTTGACTCCCATAAGGAACCCAAGAAGGTTCCAGTTCTATCTACAGTCTCTACCTCAATCTGAAAATTATGAAAATACAATTATGAAAAAAAAATTAACATGAAGAAAAATTAAGTTTGAGAGGAACACCTAATTACCTCAACATCTCTCTGCATTATTTTCCGCCTCATGAGTGCGATGGCTTCATCAGAATATTGCTCATCACGACCAGGACATCTGACACCAGAAAATGAGAAAGCAATACTGCAAGTTTCCTTTGGAATTAACAATTTAAAACGGTGGCCACTGAGGACATATTCCACAACAGCAGGGATTTTTCTACTTCTGTGCAGG